AGAGGGAGAAGTCGAATTTCCATCCATAAATCAAATAATGAATGAATCGAGAGAGGGCAAGAGATAAGGAGAGTTTTGAAGCGAGAGCGGCGAAGAGAAAAGTGTAAACAAAAGCAGCATCCGCTCTGGCAATGCAATCATCGCCGTCGGCAGAGCAGAGAGAGAGAAGAACAGAACAGAGAAGAACACCGGACGATGGTAGGGGTAAGCGAGAGAGAGACCGATGTTAGCCCAGTTATCCCAGCTGCGAAAGAGGTACTAAAGGGTGTATCGGACCGCGTGCACCTAATAAGTGACATTTGAAGTTAACTAACGAAAAATCATAGAAATATACTCCATTTATCTATAAGGCATTTAATTTCCAGGGTATGTCACAGGTCGTAAAGCCAAATCCATTCCATGCCGAGACCTGATCAATAACTTGTTTCTGGCTTATTGAACAGCATTTATTATAGAGAGAGAGAGAGAAAAAATGGTGGCTGAGGGTGAGGTGGAGGGGAGGGAGTAGCTAAAACTTTGTCTCCGCTGCTTTCACAAGAGTGCCACACAAAACCGTTACAAATTGACTTGGGAATGTGGCAAATGTGGAGAACAAAAAATATAATAGTAAGAAATACGAAGAGATCATCAGCCAGAGAGCAGGATGGCAACAGCAGAAGTCGCTTGCAAAATAACAGATCTTCCGCGAACCCGTTTTATGATCGATCCGATCCGTTGGAGTTCTAACTGGAAGTCCCTCCAAGAGTGATCGCTGATCAGATTTGGCAAGTAACATATGTACCAATAGGAAGGTCTCATTGGATCAATATACAGTAATTGGGCTCTCATGCACACATTGCTGGATGGATCAGCCGGACGACTGGAAGTGCAGCGGTTCCAACTAGAAGCGGATTCACATGCTAATGGGATGAAAACCACTAAAATTGAAATGGGGCTGGCCTTACTGGTGTTTTGGCTCCCGCCACTCTATTGCCACCACTCGGATAACGACGGAAGTGAGCGACTTGCGAGACACAAAGAAAAGAAGACCGTAACACAATACCTTTTGCATGTGTGTGTGTGTTCAGGAGTGTATATATAGTGTGAAAGGAAAAACTTTTGACTGGAAAAACGGTGGTTGGAGTGCGAGTGCAGTAAGTAATTTTCACACGCTTTGGAGGGCTGTGCGAGAGGTAGCCGGCACAAGCACACAAAGAAACACAAAAACGTTTTTTTGATTTATGAGCAGCTGCAGTCGAAAATTATCACGTTGTCTCGCTCTGCAGTCCAGCGTCTTTAACTGATATTTCAATGCAACGTTGAGTATGGGTCCGTGACTGTGTGTGTGCAAAGAATGAACCGCAAGAAAGAGCAATATTTTATTGTTGCTCCCTTAAAAATTGTTAAGCGATTTTTGAAGCAACAAATGGCTGACGCCCGCCAATGCTGCCGCTCTCTGCAGGCCGGTTAATGACTCACACTCTGAAGTCTCGCTCGCACACACACACAATCCACAATCTCCAGTTAACGTCTTACACATACACTCGACACCCGAGTCAAAGTCTCACTCACACTCAAACACCGGCCTATACCGGTATTTCAGCATTGCGCTACACACACACACACACACACACACACTCACACGCTCGGACACTCCATTATTCTCCTTCTCACCTCTTCCAATTCTTTTTTTATGGCTGCATGATCGTTTACATAGCAAATTAATTGTTCGAAATTGGCAAAAAGAACATTTAATTAACGCACCACCATCCGCCTGCCGCCACAACCACACTCACCTGATAATAAACAAACGAAAGAGAGAGATGTATGTAAATAATAACCAACTCACTTCACACACACATACACACACACACACTGCCGAACGTATGCACACGAGAAGGCCAAAGAGTCGACGGCTCTTTTGTTGCTTTTGCTACTGCTGCCGGCTCTATGTATGAATCGTCACAAAATATTTCGAGATATATAGTAATTTGATTGTTGTTGGCGGCACACAGGAAAAAAATGGACTTCGTTGTCGTCGCTGAGCAACACGAAACACGAATAAAAAATATACAAAAAACTACAGCGGCGCTGCTTTTGCCGGGTGGCTATTGTGTGTGTGCGTGTGTCCATGAGTGAGAATGGCTCTGTGTGCGTGTAGCGGCGGGGCGGCTTGCTTGTTGCGCTTTTTTTCTACAATGCGTCGGAATTTTTCAACTTACAATTTCTTCGCTGGGAAAACTCTGGGTGCATGTAAACGTAAACGGATGCTGCACATTCAGTTTTTCGGCTTCTTGATTTTTTCCCAGTTGGGCGCACAAATCAAATCAAATCAAAAAAGGCAAAAAAAAGGAGCGAAACGAACGAAACAAAAACGCAAGGGAGCGCGGACTTATCGATTAAATATATTGTCTGGTACTCACAAATATACCGATATATACATTTAAATTTTCAAAATATACTGTAAATATACCGATAAAAATCAAATTCCTTGATTTTGACATTCGCCTCAATATTACTAGCACGCGTAGACTCAAGGTATAATTTTATCCGATTGATGAATAAATTTTCTGTGGGCTGAGATTCTTGTTTGTTAGTGATACCAAAAATAAAATGCAACAACTCGGAACTGGATTTCCGATCACGCGGTTCAGACCCATCTCTTTTAAGACAACCTTGCTAAGGTCACACACCTTGTATTTTGACATAATTATACTAGTATTTTTGACAATTTTCTTGTTTCACAAATGCACCACATCGAATCCTAGTTCGAGATCAGCATTTCTGACCGTTTGCCATTAAAATCTCAACCATACCTTATGGCAATAATTCAATTATATATTCAAAATTATTAGAAAAATAGCTTAAGATTTAAAATTCAGAGATGGTCTCGTCGACATGTGACATTTCGAAGTTCCTGCCTAAGCACACAGATAACGTAAGTGGAATGCTGCTAGAGGATTCAAATTCCAGCACGATTAAAAAATGCCTCACAGAAACGGGATAAAATCCTCTATGGGGAAATGGAAACGACTGACAGCGTAAAACGATTTTCAACAATCGATGAATCGATAAACACATACTATTTCGTTTGCGCGATTGCCCTGCCAGTTTGAATTTGACCCACAATCCAGAAAAGCGAATCCTAATTTTAGATTTGGATGAAAAACAAAAGAAAAACAATTTATTTCTGAGGGAGGTGAATGAAATTCGATTAAGAAACAAACAAAACCGTGCACAGCATTCAATGCCGTGCCCGGGCCATTTCTTTTTTGTACATTTTTTCGACGGACAGTCACTGCTATAAATATTAAAATGAATCAGATCCTAATTGTTGTCCAGGGCGGAGGCGGCAGCGGCCGCGGCCCGTTCGAGCTCCTGCATCTTCTCCCGCTCACGCACCAGCCGCTCCCTGCTGTCCTGCGGATTGAGCAGCACCTTCACGAGATGCTCCACCGTCGGCCGCTCCGCGGTGCAGTAGACCTTCTGGCCCTGCGACTCCAGGGCTCGCCGTGTGCTCGGCCCGATGGCCACCAGCTTCCAGGGCTCCAGCGAGATGTTGTGCGCTCGGAAGTACTCCATGGCACAGGCAACGCCCGAGGGCGAGAAGAACGCCAGATACTCGACGCTGTCGCCGGCCTCCTTCAATGCCCGCTCCACGCACTCTCCCAGCTGGGGGCTGCACTTCGTTTCGTAGACCTCGCACGCGTCTACACAGAAGCCGTTCTCCGCCAGCTTCGAGAGGAGGGTGTCGGTGGCCAGGTTGCCGCAAGGCAGCAGCAGCGGCAGATCGCGCGACCCATCGAACGTGTCCACAATGTACTCGCCCAGGTTGCGGGCATTCCCCGTCTGCTTGCCGTGCGTGAAGAGCTGCTGCAGCGTGCTGAGGGCCAGGTTGTGGGTCACCTCGCCGACGGCATAGTTATGCAACAGCTTCCAACCACCTGGCAGCTCGCCCAGCTGCAGCGCCTCATTGACGGCCTCCACGCACCGCGGGCTGGTGAAGATGATGCCCGCGTATTTGTCCGGCGTCTGCAGCTTGCCGCCCAGCTCCTGCAGGTTCTTGAAGCCGAAGCACAGCGTCGGCACGAACACCGGGTTGAAGTTGTGCCCCAGCAGCGTCTCCGCGTACACATCGGTGCTGTCCGATTCCGATTTGAAAATAATCACCGTCCGCTGGCGGCTCGTCATGGTGCCTGTTTGTGTTTGTATTTCTGTTTGGGGCCGTCCCGTCGATGTTGGACTCGTCGTTCGATCAGATTTATTGGACCGACGGACACTCGACGGATCGCTCGGCGCCGGCCTCGTTCAAATGAATTATCGCTGCCGAGTGTTACTGCCCCGCTGCTCCCGCTCCACTGTGTGTGTGTGCTGCGGCTGTTTTTTCGGCTATTGGCTGTCTGCTGGCGGCAGTGACCGAAAATATTTGGATTTACTTTTAGCCTGCCGCCGCCTGCTGCTTAAATTGCACTTGCACTTTTGTCACCTCTCTCCCTTTCCCTCTTTCGCACATTCTTATCACTGTGACGGGGATGCCGGCTGGTTTCGGCTGGTTTCGATGGATGCGTGGCGCTGCCATGCTGTTAAATCAACTATCGATTCAGCAGCGATATTTATATTTATCGGAATATTCCATGTAAATTTAAAGCAAATTATATGCAAATACATTATTTAAAAAAGATTTACCAATGCAAAAGAATGTATACATAATGCACATATATGTACATATTTGCCATACGCAAGAAAATTCAAATGTTCGGTCCTAGAGAGGGTAAACAATTGAATAAATTGAACTGTTTGACCAAATTGATGTAATTCGTTGCTTGTTGGGTTATATGTACATACTGTAAGTTTCATTTTATGACAGCACTGGGAAAAGCCGGCTTATCTGGCGTTGCCACCCAGCCAGTTTCTAGCTTATCTATGCCATAGCTACCCACTGGTAGGCAGGCCTAGTGAAATGTTAAAGTAGTCCACTTTTGATGAAAACTATCGTTTTAACTGACAAACAGTGCAACAAAATAACTTGATAAAATTCAAAAGTCAAATTGAACGAAAAAAGACAAAAATGTGGGTAACGACTGGATTTTTGTGGATGCTGCTGATGGCCGCAATTACCGCCAAAATGGCGGCTGCTGCAGAGGTAAGTCCTGGGAGTTCTGTTCCTTTTCCTAATCTAAGCTCTGCAAGTTCAGGGTGCAGAGCCCAACTCGTTGGAGGATGTCCGGCGTCGCTTGGGCCAGCTGGTCGATCGCGCGGACGAGGACAGCGATGGGCTGCTGACGATGTCGGAGCTGAAGGAATGGATTGGCCGGACATCGCGACGCTACATAGAGAATGATGTGTCGCGCCTCTGGAAGCGTCTGAATCCGGAAAACAATGACACCATCCACTGGGACGTGTACCAAGAAACCATCTACGGCCATGCCGCGTTAAATGGTAAGTGCGAAGAGAGAATGAAGGAGCAGAGTTGAGTCTCATTTTCGTCTTTTGCCACAGATGTTCAGTACTACCACAAGGGCCTAATAAATCGCGATCGACGCCGCTGGAAAGCGGCCGATACTGGTCACGACGATAGCCTAAACCGTGATGAATTCACTGCCTTCCTGCACTCCGAGGACCACCCCGCCATGCGCGAAGTTGTGCTCCAGGAGATGTTTGATGACCTGGACCTGGACCGCGATGGCAAGATCTCGTTGCAGGAGTATCTGTTCGACATGTACCAGCCGCGGTCACCGGACATGGAGCCGCCAGAGTGGGTGGCCATCGAGCGCGATGTGTTCCTCAAGTTTATCGATCAGGACGGCGACGGGTTGCTGAATGAGGCGGAAGTGCGCCAGTGGATTGCACCCCATGGCCTGGGCCTCACGGATAGCGAGGCGCAGCATCTGTTGCTTGAGGCCGATGTCAATGGGGACGCAAAGCTGACCAAGAAGGAAGTGCTGAAGAAGGTCAATGCCTTTCTGAACTCCCCGGCCACCGAGTATGGCCAAGCCCTGTTCCGCCATGACGAGCTGTAGCCCAACCCAAATGATATTAATTGTACAATTGATCATAGTAAATGATCGTGTAAATAGTCTTCCGACTTTAATTCTTCCATTTTGAGTTGATGAACACAAGGCTTATATATATTAAGATCTGGTTCCTTAAAGCTCTTAATTCTAAATAATTTACAATATCCGTTTCTTCATCGTCTTTTAGATGGCGCCTAAAAGGTATAAATAAATTAACTTCGAAACTTAAACTGTAAGCGCATGCGTGTGTTTGTGTGGCAGTGAGAGGAAACAGCAATAAAAAGAGCACAAAAAAAGGATAAAAATAATAGTTGAAAATACAAAAAATCAGTGCAGCTGCGGCCTGGCATTGCCCTCGACCCAGTTGCGCAGCAAGTCACCCGGCTGCAGTGTGATGCCATCGCGGGCGGTATGCTGCTGTCCAGGATAATCCCAGTTGGAGCTGGCTGCTGCATGCGAGAGTCCTGGCGAGGGTGCACCCAAGGGAGCGTAGTAGGCGGAGGGCTGCCATATAGATTCCGCTCGATTCTGCTGCGACTCAAAGCCCGAGGATTGCGAGGAGGTGCGTGAGTGCTGCTGCTGCTGCTGCTGATGCTCCTTTTGCTGCGACTGTTTGGCACACTGCTCGTAGACACTCGGGTTGATGCTGTGCGTGACCACCCAGGCGCCCACATCGCGCTCACTCTGTGGCACAGGCAGTCGCGAGGGCGCCAGCAGATTCTGCGTGGACCGGCTGTTCATCTGTTGCATTGTTTGTCCGTTTAGATTGTTGTGCCTGTACCACTGTGTGCTAGGCGACAGCAAGGAGTCATTGTTCAATGTGGCAGGCGTAGGGCCCTGCCGCCAGTCGGCAGTTGAGTAAACAGTCGAGGGGCTGGGTCGGCTGGACAAATGCAGCGACTCCATGGACAGACCATTTGGTCTGCTGCGCTGGGCCAAGCCGCGCGGCCGTAGTGTGCTGTTGCCGCTCGAGGGGGGGACATGCGATAGGTTCCGGACGCTGCCATTAGGCAGGAAGTTGCGCTGGTGCCGCAGGCTGCCGATGCCGCTCGAGGGAGAGCCGACGCTCTGGCCGGACATGTTCTGGCCGCTGCAGGTGCTTAGCTGCTCGGTGATCATGCTCATGGTGTCCTCATCGGTGATGCACTCGTCCGCGCACAGCCGATGAAAGCTCTCGCTGGCCGAGTCCTCCTGGTGCCTCTGGCTCAGCAGATTGGCGCGGTTTGTGGCCAGCAAAACGAGAGTCATCACACTGCCCAGCAGCTAAGAGGAGAGAACAGAATGGGAGATCAGATCAGAACCCTTGTAGCCCCCGCTGTCGTTTAGTTTACTCACAATAAAGGTGATGCCATCAATGTAGGGCAGCGGCATGGCCATGTCCATGGCATAGACGCTCCAAAGCAGCAGGATGAGAGTGAAGCGCGTCAGCCGTAGGCCATTGGTGAGCTTGTGGCAGAAGCTGAGAGCAAGCATCGCATACGGATAGAGGCCGATGAAGCAGGAGCTGAATGTTGCCTGCTGCATCTGCTGCTGGCTGAGCCCGCCCGAGTACAGCAGCAGCTTGCCAAAGGTGCGAGCATACAGCAGCAGCTTCGCAGACGCAACAGTCGCCCGCTGTTCCAGCATGCCGCCCACAGCGTCCGCTGTGACGCGAAGCAGCGCCAACACATGGGAGTACAGGTAGAACAGCGCCGAGCCTATGTGTTCGCCCAATACCGAGTGAAACTGTTGGCGTGTGGCTGGGGGCAGACTGCAGAGCAGGCACAAAATATTGCCCACAGTCAGGAGGGCCATGCACTGCTGATAGCGATGGAGTTTCTGCTGGCGCTGGGCGCTGGCCAGGCGGTTGAAGTGCGGCTGCTTGAGCACGGCGGCGCCCTTGATCAGGAAATTCAGGATCTTCGAGCTGATCACCATTTTATTCTTCTCGTGCAGCACCTTCTTGGCATGCCGCTCACAGCTGCTGCACAAACGGAACTGCTGCTCCAGCTGCTCTCTGTGTTAGGGATAGAAATTGATTTCTGTGTTGTTTATTGGCTGCCAAAAAAACACTCACTTGTAGACCTTGAGCTCCCGCTCGTAGCGCGACTCGTGCTTGGGCTCAAACTGTGAGAGCTTCTCGATCTTCAGACGCTGTGCCTCGTTGCACTGGTCGCAGAGGCCATTGCCTGGCGCCTGCTGCATGGCGAAGGCGGAGCCGGCCACGGCGTCCGGATAGTAGGAATTCGCACAGATATTGGTGGTCTCCCGCGATGAGTTGTTCTTCTGCGACGAGCTGGCACTGGTGTCGCGCTGCGACAACATATCCCGATTGTAGTCGCCATCCTTGGTGAAGCCATTGTACTGTTCGCACTGCGGACAGGTCCAACTATTTCGCTGGACATACGGGACGCGGGAATTTTGATTGCAAAACCAGCAATTAACTGTCGCATTGTAGCGGGAGCTACGAATATATATGGTTTATACACGAATATAGTTATCATTCATAATTGCACTCTAAAAACTCTACTCATTCATAATTGCACTATGAACTCTACTCACCGTATATTTTCGTATACTCTTTTCAGACTAATGCCGATTACCAGTAAGATTGCAAGAACGGGGAGGGCAAGCTTGAGCATCTTTTTGGCCAACTATGCGATGTACAGCTCCACACCGGTGATTTGTCTGTACTTACTCTTGACTAGCTGCCAGTAATTAACTAATTTATGTATGTTTTACCTATAGATGCCGAAATCACTTTTTCGCGCGCCGCGTACCATAACCACACTTTTAGACAATGCGGTAATCGATAGTTGACACCAGGTGGCCAGGTGTGGGCCATTCTGACTATCGGATGACGTCAGATGGTTACATTGGAAGTCAGGCGATAACAAGTTGCCTTACCCCTCTTTTTTGCCTGGGATGCGCAATCACAAAATTAATTCTTGCAACCAAACATGAAAATTCAAAATAAAAAACCATCTGTTGATATTATATTTCAAACGAATATCGATAGTAGGCATGCGCATATCGGTAGCAGGCCATCACTATGTGTTTTCTTTTGAATCGGCGCATTGCACGTGTTTCAAGTTGAAATTGCAATTACAACCGCGTTTTAGCCCAAAGACCTGACCTCACCATGCAGCACGACGATGTGAGTACAGATATGGTATACTTACGGCAGATAATAATTATAACGCTTATATTAAAGGTTGTTTGGAGCATTATCAACAAGTCCTTCTGCTCGCACAAAGTCAAGTAAGTGGAACACGCACCCAGATCGGAAATCAATTTAGAAATTTCTCTCCCCATGCAGAACCGACACACGCACCTTCTGTCGCCACGAATACAATCTGACTGGTCTGTGCACGCGTCGCACCTGTCCGCTGGCCAACTCGCAGTATGCCACCGTTCGCGAGGAGAACGGCATCATCTATCTGTTCATGAAGACAGCGGAGCGGTCGCATATGCCCGCTAAGCTGTGGGAGCGCATCAAGCTGTCGCGCAACTTCAACAAGGCCATCGAACAGATCAACGAGAACCTCGTCTTCTGGCCCAAGTACATCATATCCAAGAACAAGCAGCGTTTCCTGAAGATCACCCAGTACCTGATGCGTATGCGACAGCTGAAGTTGCGCCGCCAGAAGCTCATCGTGCCGCTCTCCACCAAGATCGAGCGCCGTGAGACACGTCGCGAGGAGAAGGCCCTGGTGGCGGCCAAGATCGACAATCATATCGAGATGGCGCTGCTCGATCGTCTCAAGCATGGCACCTACCGCGACATTTACAATTTCTCACAGACGGCCTTCAACAAGGCCCTCGAGGCGGAGCGTATCGAGGACGAAGAAGACGAGGAGGAGGACGAAGAGGAAGAGCTGGAGGTGGAGCGGGAGCGGGAAATGGAGGTGGACCAGGAGGCTGCCGAGCTGCACAGGGATCTGCTCAGCGAGGAGTTTGTTGAGGCCGAAACAGACGATGAAAACGACGACGACGACGACGACGACACCCAGAGCGAATCGGGCCAGCGTGAAGAAGTCGAAATGGACAGCGACTTTGGCCACTCCGACGATGATGACGATGACGACGATAATGCAGATGCTGATGATATTGAGGTAGAGTATTGTTGGGCGTTTGTTTTCGGCAATTTGGCTTCCATTTTGAGCGTAACAATTGGTTTTATTTGCGGCTTGATTTGCACACACAAAACACACAGAAATTACCATAATTACAGAATGAGAAATGAGAAACGAGTTCCGGCCGAGACAAGCTCAGTGCAACGACTGTCGACTGCACTCGTCTGGCTCTGGCTCCGGCTCTGGGTCGGGTGCCGTAGAACTTTGCTTCTGTTTAGAATGTTTTTTCCATTCGTTGGCTAATGGCGCGTGTGCGCGCTCTGTACGTAGCCGAAGAAATTGCCGGGAACAAATAGAAGAACAAACCTTAAACCTCCCAAACGAATTTGTTGCTAATATTTCCAATCGCAGGATATTAAAGTGCCAGCCAAGAAATCCACGAAAACAAAAACGAAGAAATCAACGGCTGATGCTGCTGGTGCTGATCCATCAACGACGAAACGCCGACGCGCCAAACCCAAATTGGAGCTGGAGTACGAGTATGAGGTTGAGACTGGGGCGGAGAGGGAGAAAGTGCGCCATTAGCCAGGTACTGGAAGAGTTCACAGCCCACAGAACACACCCACATACCTACAGTCCCCCCTACCCCACATTAGGATTTTAAGCTTAATGTTTATAGCTAATTAAAAAAGAAACTGTAATGCCGCTTAAGAATAGTATTTAAAGAAGTGCAAACATAAAAATGCATCCAACATTTGTGTCGCCTCTGAATAAGAGCGGGAGGGTCATACATGTCGCATCTCGCTCTCATCCAAAAATGGCATTGAATTGTGAGTGAACGCAAGACAGAGTGGAATGAGATGACGGTGAGAGTGTTGGTGGTGGGGGGAGAGTGCGCGCGCGGGAACCAGTTTCATAAATAATCTAAAAAAAATAAGTATAAAACTATTTTTGCTAGAGTTTTAGTTTTGTCATACCCCTCCCTACACAATACCCTGTCCGGTG